CAAGTTGCCCAGGCGGGTCTTGAACCCGTGGGCTCAGGCAATCCACTCACCTCAGCCTCCCAAAGCGCAGGATTTCAGGCTGAGCTACCGAGCCCGGCTAGAGTTAAACTCTTACTCAAACAAACAAACAAACAAATAAATAAATAAATAACACAAGAAAGGTCGGGCATGGTGGCGCACACCTATAATCCCAACACTTTAGGAGGCCAAGGCAGGAGGATTGCTTGAGCCCAGGAGTTCAAGACCAGTCTCAGCAACACAGTGAGACCCTTGTCTCTACAAAAAAAAAAATAACACAAGAAAAAGAAAAGAAATAATAATGAACAACAACAAAGAAATAGATATATTTCCCTAAGTTTACTGGAATGAGCCAGGAGCAGAGGGTAGGAGAGAAAAGGAGGCCTGGAAATTGAAAGGAATGATGTAAAGTGAAATCTGAATGAGTAAAGACTGGCAATCCTAGCCAGGATCGGTGGCTCAGCCTATAATCCCGTGCCTTCGGGAGGCTGAGGTGAGTGGATTGCCTGAGCCCGCGGGTTTGAGACCCGCCTGGGCAGCGAGACCTCATCTCTACAATAAAATAAAAAAACCAGCCGGGCGTGGTAGCGCATGCCTGTAGTTCCGGCTACTTGGAAGGCTGAGGCGGAAGAATCGCCGGAGCCCAGCAGGTCGAGGCTGCGGTGGCCGGGAGCGGCCACTGCACTCCAGTCTGGGCGACAGAGTGAGACTCCAACTCAAAAAAAAAAAAAAAAAGACTGGCAATCCTGGTGGCTCCGGTTCCCTGTGAATCGGAATAGGACTAAAAGGAGGTGATGGCAGCCGCAACTGGCTGAGCAACTGGGGGACCGCAGGGAAAGGGCAAGGAAGATAAGACACACTTGTACACACTTAATAAGAAATATCATTTCCAGAAAACATTAAAGAAAACATTAACTTACCAGTATGTACTGTAGCTACTGCAATCCATACACACTGTGTGCTGAGCTTTATCTTGTTTTTCTGATTTCTTATGGTTGGTTAAGGGTATTTGTGCATCTTCGTAATGTTTTTTTGCATGGCCATTCACATACCTTACAAAAACCAAATTAAAGTTTACTTTAATTTAAATATTGCTTTGGAAATTAAAGTAGTAAGAGATGACAATGTCAATCAAATCAAAATAAGAAATAAATTCTATAACAGCATTCAATCATTTAGTGATTTATTAAGCTGAATACTTAAAATATGTTCCTTTTTTGCAATCAAATACTACAGTCAAGTTTAATCATATAGAAAGCTGGGCCCAGGCAAGGAAAGGCATTATCAATGCAAATCAGTTTCAGTACCATTGTTATTATCATTTATAAACTCCTTTGCTGATGCTGTCACTATAGCTTTTTGTTAAGTTTTTCTCAAATCGCTAGCCCCCAACTCAGGTAATTATCAAAGACAAGCTCCGTAAATTAAATGACTCAACCACTTCCCACAGGTCCACAGGCTCTACTCAGGATGCTGCTTAATAAAAAACGTTGAGAGTCAGATATGAAAACAGGATAATCTTCCCTCTCTTTCTCATCAGTGTGGCTTGAAATCTTTTATCTGAAGGCCTGAATAATCAGCTCCACTTATAGGGAAGCGTGTCTGTTCAGGAACAATCCAAATGAAACACAAATCATCTTAAGCTTATAAAAACTGCTATATCTTTCCATGGACAAAGATAATCAAAAGTTGATTATGTACATAACTGTAGAACCCTTTTCAACTCAGATTTGATACATCATTATATTACTACATGCAAAATGAAACTGAAACTAGGACACATGCACACAGTGTGCACTCAAATTCACCTAAAGACTGCACAGTGCTGTCACTGACCATCACTGTGAAGGTGCTTCTGACAAAACTTCCTAGCTCCTAGAAAGCAGCCAATTTGCAGAAGGCAAGGCCTACTTAAAAACTCAAAACAGTCAAAACAAACAAATGTTGGTGAAATGGGACCAAAACAAAAGGACTCAGAGTTCAGATGACATTTTCATCATGAGGCACCTCAACTGCACCAAGGAACAACACTTACCTTGGGGGAAGTAGGATAGGTCTGACAAGTAGAAAGGACCAACTTCAAGCCTAGCCTCTATTCCCAGGAAAACTGCAGGCATTTGAGGAAGTGTTAATCTCAACTTGGAATCTGATCATGGTCTTTTTCCATTTTTTCAATGTACTTTAAACCTTGAGTTTACATGGGTCCTCTGTCCACAAAACTGGACTAAAATGAATTTTAAAGTCAAATAATGATTAAGAGTATAAGCTCAAAAACTAGACTACCTGGGTTCAAAAGTAGGCTTTGTCACATCCTGGCCATGTGAGCTTGGGTGAGTGACTTAACCTCTCTGTGCTTGTTTTCTCATCTGTAAAATGGAGATAATAGTACTTTGTGTCTCATGGGTTGTTAGGTGATTAAATTAATCCATGGCTCATAACAAATGCATATTAACGATTATTTTATTAGCATTTCTCTTTCTATGCTTAACTACTACTTATTCAGAATCCAAACAACATAATTAATTAGAAAGTGGCACATTTAGCACATACTTCAAGATAACACATTATTACACGGGTCAAGAAACACTATTTAATTAAAAAGGTAAACTCTATTAGGCATATATAGATTCCATATCTTATCATCTAACTTCCTATTCATATCAAATATTTATAATATTCGACTATGAAAAACAATTATAATTAGTAATAATACTGAACAAAATAATAATAAAGGGCATTACCACTTGAAAATCTTTGAAAACTGATCATCTTTACATGGTTACATATAGTTCATTTAACTATAACATTGTAAGTCTCCAAATGTATTAGATGTCTAAATAGTTCCCGTAAATGTCAGTGATAAATAAGAAGTATGATTACTGATGACATTAAGATTAGCAACACTTTGGCTAATACCAAAATACATTAGTCAGAACAAGTTAACAGTTTTGTAAAAATTAGATAACATAAAAATATTGCCCTCATCTAGTTTTGAATTTTTTTTTTTGAGTTGGAGTCTCACTCTGTCACCAAGGCTGGAGTACAGTGGCATGCTCGCGGTCACCCCAGTGTTTGACCTGCTGGGCTCCAGCAATTCTTCCGCCTCAGCTTTCCAAGTAGCCGGAACCACAGGCGTGTGCTACCATGCCCAGCTAATTTTTTTTTTTCATTTACTGTAGAGACAAGGTCTCACCAAGTTGCATGGGCTGGTCTCAGACCCACGGGCTCAGGCAATCCACTCACCTTGGCCTTCCAAAGTGCTGGGACTACAGGCTGAGCCACTGAGCCCAGCCTAGTTTTAGATTTTACCTTAGACATTTCGGTCTACAGCACAAGAGAAAAAGTTTCACTATACAGGGCACAGATTGCTAACAATCTCAGAAGTTTGAAAAATAACTTAAATGAGATGGTATGAAAACCAACAGAATTCATAACTCATATATGCTGATAAACTATGTTTGCTAGTTGAAAAACTATTCAATTTACATCTTTTCAGCAGACAAGAAGTTTAAAATTACTGAAAAACTAGTATATCTAGCAATCAGCACCTGAGACCACATGACAAAAAACTATTAACCAGTTATGTAAAACAAGATCCAAATTCAGGCTACTCTCAATTATCTGTTGAATCTGCTTAATCATATTTCTCCAATACTATGTCAAATTTCCAAATTTAAGTTTGTTTGCAAACTACCTGCAGAATCTAGAAATTTCTTAATTTATTTTTCCAAAGCCTACTTTTGTTTGTTGTTTGCTACTAAGAACATTAAATCTCTCCAATTTTCCAGAGTTTGTCAGGTCTTTTGATGGGAACATGACCTTCAAGACTCAGGCTATAGAGCACGGTGACAACTGGAGAACAGGACTACATAAATGTTATTGTGTTATAATTCTCACCTCTCAAAATCTAGGAGAGGAATCTGTCTCTTCAAGTGCAGAATTTAAGTGCTTCTACTTTTCTTCTTTTTTTAAAAAAAGTTATCTGTACAAAGTATTTTCAGGTTCCCCAAATCCTAGAGATTTCAAAACCATAACAACCACAATTAAGAAATACGGTTAACATTTTCCAAAGGTACTCTTAAGTGTACATGGAAAAAAATACTCAATTCCAGGACTCAAAATATGAAAAATCAAAAATTCACTGAACAACGATGCTCTCTTCATGCTATGAGAACTTGGGGAAATAGTCCAGATAAATACAATATAGATTTCAGCCTGTGTAACTCAGTACAATTTCTTAATGCCTCGCTAAGCCATGAACTTCTGAAGTAAACTCAAAGTAGATTTTCTAAGCTAAAAGAACAGTAGAAACAAATATGCTACTACCAGGCAAAACCACACAGAAGTTGATATTTCCTTGAGTTTGTGCTAGAAGAAAAGAGTTACAGGGGTATTTAAGTGTTTTTGAAGCCAAGAACTGAGAAAAGACTGAGGTTTAAACGCAGGTGAGATGAGGCAGATGTTAAGTCCCTAGAAATCAAAATGTTTTCATGGAATAATGAAACATTTGGTACATCCTAGACAGGAATTAATGAACTCCACAATGGGGTAATTTTCAAAGGGAATTCCTTTATCTGTAAATAGTTTAGTGGGTTTTTTAATTTTGTTTTTTTTCCCCAAAAGAATGATATCATCTCTGGGATTTGATTCAAAAGTCATTAAAGGTAGGGATGGGGTAGATATAGGTGACACAAGACTGGTCGTGTGGTAATAACTGTTGGCCCTGGATGATGGGGACACGCAGTTCAATCACACTAACTCTCTACCTTTGTGTGTACTTAAATTTTACCCAAATAAAAGGCTGAAAAAATAACCATTAAGTAAACTTGTATTTCAAGACTTCACAGTTGCCTTATTTCATCTTTCCAATCAAATATTATTAGCAGACTGCCTTGATTATCAAACAAATCCTTCCGAGTATCCATATAAAGCATTTTTTCCTAGATATTCTTCCAAGCTGTACCACAGAACAAAGGGACTGAACTGGACAAGGAAGCCCTAGATAATTTATACTACAATTAACAATAGTACTACATCCAAATCAACACAATTTTGACATAGAGCTTAAAGGCAAATTTTAAAAAGAAAACAGGGCAGGGAAGTAATAAGTATGGCACCTACCTTCCACAGTGGACACTTGAACAAGTCAAACAGACCCAAGGGCTTTTGTTGGACCGGCACACTAATAAAGAGAAAAATACACAATATACCAATTGTCTCTTGTTATTTCCCATTTCTCCCCATTATCCTGTGGTTAGATTTCAAGTACCATGACTTCATAGATAGAGGGCAGTCACAAACCCCTACTTTGTGAAGGCACTTACACAAAATGGCTGCCTGATTAAAGTTACATTGAAAAGAATTTAAATTCATGTCCACAACTGCTGCTTATTTTAATTGCTCACTCCATTCAAATAGCTTAACCATGTTAAACACATACACACTTTCCTCTTTTATTACTTATTCCTTTTTATATGGTCCCCAAGTTAATAATAGTATATTTTCTCATTAAAAACATTTTTTTAAAAGTCTAGTCTTTTAATCACATCTTTGCCATGCAGGTCATATTTCATTATAAACGACAACTCTTTCCATTTATTTAGTGAGAGGCACAACTTAAGGATACGATTAGGAAGACTAGGCCTTGTTTTCCCAAAGTAATTCTCAGCTGCATAAAATATATGACAACTACATATAATTCTTGTTAAGGGTATAATCAGGTCATTAATTATTTTAGCTGATGCATGGTGGTGTGAAGCAGGTAAGAAGGAGCATGGAATGGCCAGGCACGGTGGCACAAACCTATAATCCCAGCACTTTGGGAGGTCGAGGCAAGAGGATTACCTGAGCCCAGGGTTCAAGATCAACCTGGGCAACTTGGTGAGACCTCGTCTCTACAATATATCCAAAAAAAAAAAAATTAGCTGGGCATGGTAGCGCATGTCTGTAGTTCTGGCTACCTGGAAGGCTGAGGTGGAAGAATCGCCTGAGCCCAGCAGCAGCTTGACGCTGGGGTGGCCGTGAGCGTGCCACTGCACTCCAGCCTGGGGGACAGAGTGAGACTCTGACTCATAAAAAAAAAAAAAAAAAAAAGAAGAAGAAAAGGGGCATGGAAACTTTTAAAATATTGATTAAAATTTTGCTTATTGTTCACTTATTCAACTTCTTTTAAAGTCCTGTAGAGGTAACAGTGATTTCCAAGGAAGGGATATAAAAATCACCTGGAAAGCAGTTTTAAAACACCTGTGTTAGGCCGGGGGCAGCCTCAAGCCTGTTAATCTCAGCACTTTTGGAGGCAGAGGGGTAAGGATTGCCTGAGCCTATAGGTTCAAGACCAGCCTAGCTGGGCGTGGTGGCACGTGCCTGTAGCTCCAGTTACTTGGAAGACTGAAGACTTCGACTCAAAAAAACAAACCAAAAAAAATCTATGTTGGCCAGGCACAGTGGCTCACACCTCTAATTCCAGCAGTTTAGAAGGCAGAGGCAAGAAGATTACCTGAACCCATGGGTTCGAGATCAGCCTGGGCAACATGGCGAGACTTCGCCTCTACAATTAAAAAAAAAAAAAAATTAGCCAGGTGTGATGGCAGTTGCCTGTAGTTCCAGTTTCTTGGAAAGTTGAAGCGGAAGAATCACCTAAACCCAGCAGCTTGAGACTGAGGTGGCCACAAGCACACCACTGTACTCTAGCCTGGACAACAGAGTAAGACTCTGGAAAGTGAGACTGTGGATCAAAAGAACAACAACAAAAAAACCCTATATTCTACTCAAGCAATCATGTTACACTGGGGTGGGAAGAGAAGTGCAAAGAACATGCACATTTTAAGCAAGGCAGCTCCTGGCTGACTCCCTAACTCAACTTCAGAGCCACCAGCCAGACTCCTGGGGACAAAGGAGGGGTACCACAACATAACTACACACTCAGGATCAAATTAATCTACCACCTGGTACATAGTAGATGCTCAACAAAATTTTGTTGAAGAGAAAGTTAAAATTTCTTAGGATAACAAACTCTTCCAAGATCTGGTTCCTACATATGTCTCTCTTGCCTTACTATATTACAATAAACAGGCCTTTTTCACTATTAAAGAAAAAAGTAACCAAAACAAGAAATAATGGGAAATTGAAAACTGTAAGCCCTTTTTTTTCTTTTTTTTGAGTTGGAGTCTCACTTGGTTGCCCAGGCTGGAGTGCAGTGGCACACTCATGGCCAACCCAGCATCAAGCTAGGCGCAGGCGATCCTTCCACTTCAGCTTTCCAAGTAGCCAGAACTACAGGCGCATGCTACCACACCTGGCTAATTTTTTGATTTAATGTAGAGATGGGGTCTCACCAAGTTGCCCAGGCTGTTCTCAAACCCGTGGGTTCAGGCAATTTCCCCTCACCTCAGTCTCCCAAAGTGCTGGGATTATTGGCTTAAGCCACCGCACCCCGCCCGTTTTTTATTTTCCTGAGTCTCACTCTGTCACCCAGGCAGTGGCATACTCACAGTTACCGCAGCCTCAACCTGCTGGGCTCAGAACAATCCTTTCACCTCAGCCTTCCAAGAATCTGGAACCACAGGCACACACCACCATGCCTGGCTAATTGCTTGATTTATAGTAGAGATGTGGTCTCACCAAGTTGCCCAGGATGGTTGCAAACCCCTGAGCTCAGGCAGTCCTCTCACTTCCGCTTCCGAAAGGGCTGGGATTACAGGCATGAGCCACAGCACCTGGCAGTGCCGATCTTGAAAGCATTTAGGTTTTTTATTCAATTGGGTCTAATTTTCTTACATATGCATGTAAACCACAAGATAGAAAAGTCTGGAAGAATACCTATCAAACTGCTAACAATAATTATTTTGGGCAGATATTGGGAGGAATCACAAGGGGAGGCTGCTAGCTTTTCATTTGCACTTCCCTGTGATGTTTGACTTGCTGCAACAAAAATATGATGTTTTTATAGTTTAAAGAGAAACTCCAATAAAGTATATATATGTATATATATATATTTTTTTTTTTTTTTTGAGTGGGAGTCTCACTCTGTCGCCCAGACTGGAGTGCAGTGGTCGCTCCCGGCCACCGCAGCTTCAACCTGCTGGGCTCTGGTGATCCTTCCACCTCAGCCTTCCGAGTAGCCGGAATTACAGGTATGTGCTACCATGCCTGGCTGATTTTTGATTTATTGCAGAGAAGAGGTCTCGCCAAGTTGCCCCGGCGGGTCTCGAACCCGCGGGCTCAGGCAGTCCACTCACCTCAGCCTCCCAAAGGCGCGGGATTACAGGCTGAGCAACCGAGCCCGGCAATAAAATATATTTTTTAAAAAATTAAATTAGAAGCTGGGCTCTACAATAAATCAAAAATTAGTCAGGCATAGTAGTACGTGCCTGTAGTTCCAGTTACTTGGAAGGCTGAGGCAGAAGGATCATCAGAGCCCAGCAGGTCAACACTGGGGTGGCACTGAGTATGCCACTGCACTCCAGCCTGCGCGACAGAGTGAGATGCCAACTCAAAAAAAAAAAAAAAAATTAGCCAGGAATAGTGGCACTTGCCTGTAGTCCTAGATACTTGGGAGGCTGAGGCAGAAGGATCACCTGAGCCCAGAAGGTTGAGGCTGCAGTGAGATGTGATCACACCACTGCACTCCAGCCTAGGTGACAGAGACACTGAACTTAAAAAAAAAAAAAAAAAGTTAATATTAAGAAACATCGTTGGCTGGGCTCAGTGTCTCAGCCTGTAATCCCAGCACTTTGGGAGACCGAGGCAAGGGGATTACCTGAGCCTGGAGGTTCGAGACCAGCCCAGGCAACTTGGCGAACCTCGTCTCTACAATAAATCAAAAATTAGCCGGGCATGGTAGCGTGAGCCTATAGGTCCAGCTTGGAGGGTTGAGGCAGAAGGATCGCCAGAGCCCAGCGGGTCGATGCTCAGGTGGCCGTGAGCATGACACTACACTTCCACCTGGGCTACGGAGTGAGACTCCAACTCCAAACAAACAAACAAACAAACAAACAAAATTGTTGTGGCTCAGTCTGTAATCCCAGCACTTGGAGAGGCCAAATAGAGTAGATTGTCTGAGCCCATGGGTTCAAGACCAGCCCGGGCAACTTGGCGAGACCTCATCTCTACAATAAATAAATTTTAAAAATTAGCCAGGCGTGGTAGTGCACGCTTGTAGTTCCAGTTACTTGGAAGGCTGAGGCAGATGGATTGCCAGAGCCCACCAGGTCAAAGCTGGGGTGGCCATGAGTGTACCACTGCACTCCAGCCTGGGCGACAGAGTGAGACTCCTACTCAAAAAAAAAAAGAAAGAAAGAAAAAAACATTGTAACTCAATCTAGAAAAACTGTTAAAGTGTCATCTTATCCTAAAATGTTAAAATAATGAGTTTAGGCCTAAGTTTTTTACCATTCAGATTTTTTTTTAATTATAGAGAACTTCGTTACTTCTTTGTAAGAGGAAAAGGAATTCTGAAGCAGAATCCCTGTACTCTGCTGTGACTGTTTCCTACCAAGTATTCCTCCCCTTATAGTTATAAACATACACACAGTATACACAATTTTCTGATTTCCTTTTCCCCACTTTCAGCATATGAAATTTGTATGTTTTTGTATTTAGAACAAAGTTTTATAAATCTAGTGTTATATGCTGGGCTCGGTGGCTCAGCCTGCAATCCCGCGCCTTTGGGAGGCTAGGTGAGTGGATTGCCTGAGCCCGCGGGTTCGAGATTCACCTGGGCGGCGAGACCTCATCTCTACAATAAACCCAAAAAAAAAAAAAATTCAGCCGGGCGTGGTAGCGCATGCCTGTAGTTCCGGCTACTTGGAAGGCTGAGGCGGAAGGATCGCCAGAGCCCAGCAGGTCGAGGCTGCAGAGGCTGGGAGCGGCCACTGCACTCCAGTCTGGGTGACAGAGTGAGACTCCAACTCAAAAAAATTAAAAAATAAAAAATCTAGTGTTATAATGTCTCAATTATCTCACAAAGCATTACTTTTTCTTAATTTCTCAATTCAATTCAAATTTTAAAAACTAAGGCTGAAGGGGGGAGAGAATGGGAGGTAACTGCTTAACAAGTTTAGAGTTTATTTTGGGGCGAGGAAAAGGTTTTGGAACTCTAGGGTAGTTGTAAAACAATTGTGGATATATTAAATGCCACTAAGTTATTTGCTTTAAAAGTGTTA